TCCTGTATCTCCCTAAGGAAGGAAGGGGACCACGGTGCTGCCCTGAACCACAGGCACGTTCCCCACTGGGGGACTCTCCCTAACCAGCACAGAGAAAGCAAGCAGCAGCCATCCAGGCTCACAGTGCCTGGGAGGGGTGGAGTGCAGACAGGTTCCTCCCCTGGAATTGAGATGTAGCACCCCCAGTTTCCTAGTGACACCCTTTACCAAAGGCCATGCAGCCAACCTTGTTCTGCTGTTCCAATGACAAAAAAACAAACAAACAAAAAACCCACACTATTGTTAAGTTTTTCTTTTCCCCTCTGTTTTGAGACAGGGCCTTACTTTGTAGCTCAGGCTAGCCTGGAGTCTGCAGCAATCCTCCTGCCTCTGCTTCCAAGTGCTGACAATTCAAGAGTGAGCCAACATACTCAGTAAAAGGTTTTATGAGTCTTTCAAAAGTCAGGAATCTTTAGTCCAAGTTGCCTCTTCCTCCCCCACAGAGAGCCTTGCTATACAGCCACGGTTGAACTTACTACATAGCCCAGACTCAACCTCTTCATCCTCCTTCCTCGTCCTTCCAAGACCTACAGGTGTGCACAACCACGCCTTGCTTTCCCCAGCCCCTCCTTTATTGGCAGTGATGGAGTTTGAAGCCAGGGCCCTACACTTAATAAGGAAGCAGCCACTCTACCTCTGAGCACCATTGCCAGCACTCCCAAGTTGCCCTTCAAACATGGTTCAGTGAACTTCCCACTTTTGAGAGGGGATGTAAAAGCTTCTACATTGAAGCTCAAAGATTACAGCAGAGTGTAAGGTGAGCCTGATATGTCACTGGCTTCAATTGAACATGCTGAGACCAAGCTAAACATCAGAGCAGAACTCAGTTTCCCAGCTTCTATTCCAAGCTTAACAGCAAGGAAAAGAGGGCTGGGACCGCAACCCGGCAGAAGGGCGCTTGCTTAGATACATGCAGCCCTGGATTCCATCCCCAACACCACAAAATAAAGGCCCACGACGAGAGAGCTGCCTGGTGCGGTGGCACACACCTTTAATCCCAGCACTTGGAAGGCACAGTCAAGTGGATCTCTGTTGCATTTGAGGTCAGTTTGGTCTACAAAGCAAGTTCCTGGGCCACAGAGTGAGGCTCTGTCTCAACTATTCCCCCCCGCTCCCCCCCACCAACAAAAACCTGCATGAGGGGCCTATGGGTGCTGAGGGCCCCCAACATCCTAAACCATGGCTGACAGCCCTACTGTGGTCTCCAGATGGGGTTAACAGTTTGCATGCTGCCCAGTTTTGGACCTGCCTGTCTAGGGCTTGAATTTGGTTCCTGGGAAACAAAAAGAAAACAGCCTCCTCTCGGCAGTCACTGCACGTCTTTGCCGGCTGTAGGATGACCTCCAGTAACCTTCCCATCACCCTAGCCTTCTTGGGTTTTCCAGGATCCACTCAGTCACGCTAGGTTCCTACAGAAGAGGCTGGGTGAGGAAGGGGAGCCACGAACTGGCCTAACGACAGAGGACGAAATGACCGGAAGAGAGATACCCTGCTTCAGCACAGCTTTAAAACACTGACCCAATTCTCCCACAGCTCCCCACTGCTCCTGGGGACCCCTCCCAGGACAAAAAAGAATTTCAACGAGTCGCTTTCCATCACCTGTCCCAGGACCCGGAGCAGAATCTGAGTGGGAAACGTTATTTTTGTGCTGGCATGAGGCGGTCACAAGCTGGCCAACACTTAAGTCCCCATGTAACAAACACTCTGCTTAAAACGGAGACTATCCTGCCTACTGAGGAGGACGGTGGGCCTGTGGGCGGATCGTGTGGCTCGGTCACCGCTTAGTCCTAATGGATCTTAGAGAATTATCTTGGAGTTTTTTTGGTTTTGCTTTTTTTAAAAATTTGTTACATCTATTTATTTATGTGCAGCTGGGGGTGCTCGAGTGGAGATCAGAAGACAACTTGAAGGAACTGATTTTCTCCTTCTCCACGTGGATTCCCGGGGTCTAGCTGAGGCCGTCAGGCTTGGCTGCAAGGGAGTTTACCCACTGAGTCCTCTGAGTTCTGTCCTGCTCGCAGGCTCCAGACTTTAAAACGCTCGTTCAAGCTCTTGTTCTCTGGGATTCCAGAGACCTTCTCCATCCTAATCCTTTCCCACAAGTGGCCCAGCTCAGAGTCCAGATTTGTCCCTTTGCTTTTTAAGTTTACCAAATGCATCAGGTATGGGTTTCTGATACTCATTTCCTCCTCTTTGACCGAGTGCCATCAAGTCTTGGACCGGCTAGTTGGGAAGGATGGCGCAACCTAGGCGCTCAATGCAGGACCAGCGTAGCCTGGCACCAGACACGATGGAGGACTTCTTAGCTGGGTCGTGCACCTCACACTCACGCAGGCCGTCCCGGGCGCCACAGGGGACCCGAGCCGCGCAGCGAAACCACCGCCTCCCCGCTCCTCCCTGGCTTCGTCTCACGCCCCGTGTCCCCGGCCCCAGATCCGCAGACCTGGCCTGGTGCAGCAGACTCTCCGCGCCCGCCGAGAACATCCTGCTCGCAGCTCGGAGGCCAACCGCGACCAAAGCGTTGTCGAGGACTTCCGGGTAGCATCACATGATGGGTCATGTGACCAAACTGCGTGCGTGCGTGCCTGCCTCTGCTTCTCTCACCCCTCCCTCGCCCTGGCCGCGTCACGTGGGAGAACCTGAAGCGCGAGCGGCCGACTTCCGGTGCCACATCACGTGGGAGGACCCTGCTAGCGGAAGACTTCTGTTATGCGTCAGGTGGGCGGGGCGGAGACCACGAGCCAATGAGTTGCAGCGCAGAAGCCGGTTCCGGGCCAGCTCCGGGGCATCTGTCCACGTCACCGTCAGCCACGGAACCCTACAACCGTGGTTCTTGGAGCCCGGAGCTCTTGGCCCCGGAAGAGCTCCTTTTCATCCCGGAACTGCTAGTGGTAGATTTAGGACCTGGAGAGAAGACTAGGAACGTAGTGTCTGCCTAGAATCCCCCAGTGAGGGGCTCGGGCGTGACTTGGTGCTAGAGTACTTTTGGGCCTGTGTGAGGCCCTGGGCTCCATCCTCTCAGCAAGACAAACCTGGGTGCCAGGGGTTCGTCATTTTCCCTTTCTCTACACATGCATGCACACCAATTAAACGTTACCATGAATAATATTTGACCTGCTTCTTAAAATCTGTAGCAGTTTATTTGAAAATTTCATTAGTGGAAAGTAGTTAAAGTAAAAAATAATACACATACATATACCATATATATGGGCTAGAGAAATGGCTCAGTCAGCATATTGCTTGCCATGTAAACATGAGGACTACGCTTGAGTTCCCAACATCACATAAAAATATCTAGGTACTTAACATACACAAGCATACACATGCATGCATGCACTTTAAGTCACTCATGTGGCAGACACATTTTTTATGACCTCTGTCAGAGGCACTCTTCTACAAAAACACCCAATGTCTTGCTAGCCTGGGGTTCTGGGGTCAGGAGGCTGTGGCATCTCGCACTCATTTGTGTTGGGGGGTAGGTGCCTGTTTCATGTGCAGACAAAGGAAGCTGATGGTAGACGGAGGAGCTGTCATGGTGAGAACCTGGACCCATGTCTGTCTGGCTCTTGCCAGTGCCTAGTGCCTATGACCTAGAATAAGCAGGCGGCTCTGTCCTTGCGAGGACAGTGAGAACCTGAGCTCCATCCCTAGGTGGCTGTGGGAAAGTAAGCACACACTTGTGATCCCAGCACTGGGGGAGTGGAGGCAGGAGGAGCTCTTTTTGCTGGCTGGCCAGCTAGCTTCCTTGGCAAGTCCCAGGCCAGTGAGAGACCCTGTCTCAAAAGACAAGGTGGGGCAGGGAAGATGACTCAGTGCGTGAAAGTGACTGCCACACAAATGAGCGAGAGATGCCACAGCCCACATAAAAGCTACAGAATAACTTTAATGCTATGTAAATAGTGTAAGCACTTGTGATCCCAGCACACCTATAGCAGATAGGAGGAGGAGGCAGGAGAAGCTCCTGGAACTAGAGGGCCTGCTAGCCTGGCTTATGCAATAGCAAAGAAATTGTTTCAAACAAGGTGGAAAGGTGAGGGCGGGCACCTGAAGGTTGTTCTCTAACTTGCCCACGTCTCCTGTGGCCAGTGCATGCCTGTGCCTCCACATATGAACACACACATCACGTGAGGAACAAGAGCTGAGGTTGTCTTCTGTCTCCATACAAATGCACACACAGGTGCACACACATACACACACACACACAGGAAGTCACACCCAGGAACATGTACACATAAGAGAGAAATGGAGTTTCTCACCTGACTGAGGGTCAGATGTCTGCTAGGACCATGGAGGCAGCCACGATTCAGGTTTGAATGAGAATGGCTCCCATTAGCTCACATACTTGAATGCTTTGCCCAGGGATGGTAGAACGGTGTGGGAAGGATTAGGAGGTGTGGCCTTGCTGGAGGAGGTGTGTCACTGGGGTCAGGCTTGCGGTTTCAAGAGCCCACAGCATTTCCCAGTTAGCTCTCTTTGTCTTGTCGCTGTTTCAAGGCGTGAGCTCTCATCTGCTGCGCTCCCTGCGTGGTCAGGCTCTCATCCCCTGAACTGGGAGCCGCAAAGTAAATGCCTTTTTGTTTTTCCTAAGTTTCCTTTGTCATGGTGTCTCCTCACAGCAAAAGACCGAGTAACAAGACACACAGAGCACCTGCAGACACATCCTGGCCCAGCTGTGGGCGTGTGTCATGAGACGGGGAGACACGGGCTAGCTCCTCCTTTGCCATCTGTGAACCATCTCCATATCCTTGGAGCTCAGATGACAGACACCTGCAGGGCTCTACCTGGACTGGACACCCAGGAACCCCCAGAGGAAGCAGAGTCCCCGGCCATTTCCCTTTCACCTCTGAAGCAGCTGGGGGTCAAGTCTGTCACTCCAGGAGCAGGGGTGTGTATCCAGGCCATCTGTTGGGCTGTCTGCCCTCCACAGTCACTCACTCAGGGACCACTCACCTCTGAGTACATATCTTTAATATATAATTTTTATTTCTGGTTATAGAAACAAATGCTAAGAGGAGAATACAGAGCTTCCCCACCCACATAAAACAATCGAATAGATAAAAGAACAGTCCAAATGGATGAAAAAGGAAGTAGAAATTTTCCACTGTATAGCTTTAAAACATTAATGTCTAATAATAGTTAGAAATCACATTCAGGTGTCAAACTTTTTTTTTTTTTTTAAAAAGGATGGTTCTGTTATAAAAAATACTGTATCCCATTTGAAATGAACGCCCAGGTGGTGCTGCAGGTCTTTCTGATCCCAACCATTACCTCTGCCTCCTGAGTGAGACCTTCACCCACTGAGGTGGGGCACGTCCCATCTCTGGAACCAGGACTCCCAGCGCATAGGATACCACTGCTTTTAAAGCACTACGTGTTAAACATATCATGGAAACACTTTAGACAGCCACTATAAAACAAACAAAACAAAACCACACATGTGCGCACGCATACACACACACACACACACACACACACACACACACACTCCCTGAACACCCTCCCCCCAATTACTTTTACAGAATTATCATTCAGTTAAGAAAAAGAACGACCTCACTATTGGCTTTAGCCCCTCCCTCACACGTGCACAGCTGCTGTCCCCCTCCCCAGGACACAGCAGAATTCAAGGGGAGACATGGAAGACAGTTTGGGTCTCTCCTTCCTGCCCCCACCACCTTTGCCCAGCCCAGGAATCAAGCTAAGGTATCAGGGATCCCAGATGCCTCCAGGAAGGATGTTATGAAAAGAAGATGGGAGAGAGGGGCCAAAATGAAAATGTTAGATTTTTTTTTTAAATTCCCAACTTTACCAATTGAAAATAAAAGTTCTAGACCAGCCAATTCAGACTCAAGAAGCCAGGGTGTCATTTGGATACATACAGGACAGAGAACATGAATACTTAGTGGATCATGGGGCTCACTCTAGCAGGGTCAGCACAGCCCTAGGGACAGTGCTGAGGTTCCTGCCGGCGGCAAGTGCTCCAAATGCAGGGGCATGGACCAAGCCTGGCCATTGGCCACCTCCAGCCTCTCCTAGGCTTCTGTGACCCAGGTTCCTCCACGCCGCCCCTTCACCTTGTGAGTAGTCAAAGGAGCAAGGATTCAGAGGTAAAGCAGCAAGCTCTTTCAATCCTTCAACTCTCATGAGGTGGGGGTTGGGACAAGTGAAAGTTGGTGGAGGGGGCTGGGGGTCCTAGGAAGCTTGTGTTTGGTGGTTGAGCCCAAGAACAGAAACACACACACCACTTTCCGTGGTGAGCCAAGCCCTCCTGGAGAGAGAGATGTCCATGCTCTCTTTACCATGGCCTGCACTAGCTGTGAGGGTTAAGACGGAGGTGAGACAGCCTTCAGCTTCCAGTCCTGCCGGCTCACCTCCGCCTAGCTCCTGCCATGCTGCCCTCTGGGTGGACACTTCTCTCCAAGAAGTTCAGAGGACCCTCTGTCCTGCCTCATGCCTGGGTGGTGCCCCTGGACAAGGCATGTGGTTGGCTTCACCTGTGGGACAGCCCTGCCAGGGTGTAGTTCTAGACGGTTCCCTGCAGCAGCAGAGCTAAAGCCTGCCAGAAGGAAGCTCAGAGCAGCAGAAAAGAGGAGCGGAGAGACAGATGGGAGCAGCAGCCAGGACCACTCCCAAGTAGAGAGGGCAGTGGTGGCGCACGCCTTTAATCCCAGGACTTGGGAGGCAGAGGCAGGCGGATCTCTGTGAGTTCGAGGCCAACCTGGTCTACAAGAGCTAGTTCTAGAACAGGCCCCAAAGCCACAGAGAAACCCTGTCTCAAAGAAAACACACACATAAAAAAGTAGAAAACTATTTTCCCTAAAGTCAGTGAAATGTGAAATGGGTCTGTGTCTTATTTGGATGGAAATGCCTGAGGTTGGGTCACAGAACTCCACTTGCCAAGCAGCTGTGACTTCGGGGGTAGCGATGGAGAGGGCAGGGAGAGGGAAGTAGTAACCCGAGGATGACAGTCCCTTGGACAGTCCCAAATTGTTCAAACCACAGGCCGTGGGAAGAGGGTGTTAGTGCTAGTCTGTGGGCATCTAGACCATACCTGCTGTGTCACCAATGCAGCAGCCTTTGGTAGAGAAAAAAACAAAAAACAAGGAGCACTAGGCCATGGTGGCACTTCAGGAAGCTGAGACGAGGACTACAAGGTCAAGGCCAGCCTGGGCAGCTTCATGAGACCCTGTCTCAAGTTTAAAAAATCAAAAGGGCCATGAGCTGGCTCAGTGGTAGAACAGCCCTTGCCTAGCATGTGCAAGGCCCTGAGCTTACTCTCCAGCACCGAAACAAAATAAAAACCCAGAACTTAACAAGCAGGCGATGCAAGAGCCAGCCTGAATTCAAGGCCTGGAGCAAGGGACTCACAAGATGAAAGGGGACATTCAGTCGGGAGCAGGACTGAAGTGGCAGGTGGAAATTAGGAGGCCTTGGCCTTGTCTGTTCCCAGTTCTCACCTGCCTTCTCCAAGTCAAAGTGCATGTTGGAGGCCCTGCTCTGGAAGGAAGCTGGGGTCAGCAGCGGCCATCTTTGGAACAACTTGACTTATCCTTTGTAATATTGCTTCTAAGCAGAGGTATTCTGAGAGACTGGAGGTGAGGTGCTAGTGACGACTGCCCTGTCACCCCTGTCACCCTGAGCCAGAACAAGAGGCTACCCTGTCATCACTGTGGTGACTTTACCACTAGTGATCGGGACGTGATGTTCCCACACAGGGATCTTTCCCCAGAACAGAGACTCACTCACTTTCTGACTTACTCTAGAGTGAGCACTGAGCTATTCAGATGGACAGGAAAAGGCTTGGTCAGCAAAGTGGGGGGCACACCCCAGAGTGGGCAACATCACATGGTGCAATATGGAATCAGAGGGTTTTGAGGAAAAGCGGGAAATTCCATCCCACTACCACTTCTCCATGGGAAAGGTTTCTTCCTTGCATTTAACTAAGTCTTTGACTACGGCCCAAAGGGGAAGACACTGACCCCATCACCTGGCTGTGACCATTTCCAGCTATCCCAGATTATTGTGAAAGAGCTTTCCCCTTTAAGGGGAAAGATGGGTGACAACTATTATTTCAGATCTTGGCAAGCCTGGTATGGGACAGGAGGCGGAGGCGGGAGATCTCTAGATTATAAGGATGTAGAAAGCAGGGGAAGGGTTCATGGGCTTCCTCATGGAGAGTGAGTCTGAGTCGGATACCCCGCCTTGCACAAAGGCAAGGCTCCAGGAGCTGTTGACAGACATGTTTATCATGCCCTGGATGCCAAGCTGAGGTAGGGGAGGAGACAGAAAAGGCAAAAAGGAAGAAGGGATAGATAGGAATAGAAGGGGAAAGATAAGGGGCGGGAGGAAGGGAAAGAGAAAGAGGAGGAAGGAGGAGAGACCGGCAGGGGAGAGGAACAGAGAGAGCTCTCAGGCAGGCAAGCTCTCAGGCTGGGTCTCTTCGCTTCCAGTCACCATGGTGACATCCTATGCTTGCAGCATTTTGTGAGTCTGGCGAGTCCCAGATATGAGGCAGACGACAGAGTGGACATGCGGACAGCTAGGCACCGGATCTGCCAGGGAACACTCACCAAAACAAGGCAAGCTCAGATAAAGCTGTGCCAGAGACAGGAGCCGCTGTGGCCCTGAGGAACAGGTCACCAGGCATCACATCTGCGCCTCAACTGTTCTCCAACCCCAGGGCTTGCTGGGGTCCTCCAGGGTTGCCAGCCATGGTCTAGACAGTGGATGGTCATGGCCCCTAACCCAGGCTCTGGCTTCCACATATAGCTTCCCAGAGCTCACGGGAGCAAGTTCCAGCTGACTGTGGATTCCTGTTCTGAGCACTGGCTATTCTGGGTTAATGGCTGTGGGCAAAAGCTGGCACAAGCCGGGTGCTACCTGGTAGATAACCAAATCCACTTCTAGAGCAATGACACTAGGCTAGCCTCCTCCTTTCTAGCTCAGGCTGCCCAAGCAGGGGCACAGGACCCTCTGCCTTAAGGTCATGTAGGACATCGGGACAGTGTGTGCTCCACTCTCTCCCTCCATGTCCTTCCACACCCGTGTTAGCGTGGTGAGAGGATCCGCTACAGAGGATGGAGACCATGATGTCTCAGCAGCCAGGAGAGCAAACTGGTCAGGACCATTCTGAGACCTGATGACAGATGTGACGGATGGTGACCCCACAGTTCCATGCAGGGACTGCGCACAGTGCCTACCATGACAATCCACAAATAATCTGCCTTGCAGGGTGACCATGCGCATACAGTCTTGGAGTAAACGGTAACAGAGGGGAAGATCGGCAGGTGGCACTAACGTCCCTTGTGGTCTCAGTTCATTCCCGCTTCCCTAGCCACATGCTCACACCAGGCACACAGAGAACAAGTTCATGCCAGGCACAGGGAGATGTAGGATAGAGTCATTTGATACTCCAAGGGGCAGCTCCACCTGGAAAACCCACCCCCAGCCACTAATACCCCAGCCCCACCTCTCAGAAACCTCCCAGGCGACAGACAGGCCTACAAAACAGAGCTCTCTTCCAGCTTGACGTTTAGTACTGCAGAAATGACTGGGGAGCTTGGGAGATAGCTCAAGAGGGCTAGACAGGCGCTCTGCACTGGTCCTTGGCGTGTGTGGGGACTGGTGGCTTCAATAGTGGCAGCCATAGGGTGGAGCCCGAATTCATCCAACCCGATCACCTGCTCTCCGTAGCCTCCAGGTCACTGACTGGCAACTCTTCCAGCAAAGGCAGTTTGTACGGCTGTGGCCCCTCCTTTCTTGGGGTTGCCTGCTCTTTGCTCACGGGGCTCTCTCTTCTCTTCTGACTGGGCCCGGGCAGAGGAAGAGGCCAGGGTAACCCGACTTTTCTGGGGTTCTCTGTCCAAGTTGTCACTGTCGCTTATGGCCCACCATCCAGGAGGACCAGCACTGAGCTCCTGGCTGCCTTGAAGTCCTGCCATGCAGCTGCTGCTACTGCTTCCGCAGAACCATCTCTCATCCCCAGACTGTGTGGAACAGTCAATGTCTCCTACTCCTATGACTTGCTGCGTTCAAAGTGCTGCTGGTAGCTTGTGTAGGCATGCAAAGAGACCTTCTCTGGGGATCCGAGTCCTCGGCTGACCCCATACTTTGGTTCTTGCCACACTGTAATCAAACTTGGCACCAACTGCTGTCCAGAGAGGTAGTTTCCTTCCCAGTGGATAACAGCCAGGGACACCCGGCTTCAGGTAGAAGAGAGGGTTTCTATTTGCAAACTGGACACGTCTTGGGGTGCTCAGGAAACTGGAATGTGTGAGGGGAAGGCAGTGTGAGCAGACCATTGCACAGCACCTCCAGCTGCCAGAAACAGGATGCATCCCGCTGTCTTCCACTGGTACAGACCAGTATCCTCCCCGCTGAGCAAGGGGCTGACTGATGTCCCCTGAAGCTACCCAGGTTTCCCTGGATATCCGTTGTAGCTTGCAGCTCTGGGCTAAGCCAGTACTGTGGGAATGGATGCCATGGGCACTGGCCCTGGGCTGATTTTCCAACATCAATGTGGGAGCCGCTGATCCTTCTTGGAGTTATCGGGGAGAGCGGCATGTTCACCAAGGGCTGGTGTGGGTGAGTGCCTGCAGCTACTCAACTGCTACCAAAGGGAACCCCAAAGACACGTGAACCCTTCTGTGTGTCTCAGGTTTGAGATGAGCCCAAATTCCATGTTTAACTATAAGAATTATTTTAGGGTCCAAAACCAAAGCAGACCTCTTGATCCCAATTAATGCCGCAGCCTATGTCACTTTTGGGGCGAGGACTGCATCCCAGTGTGTGGCTGGGACGTTCTCACCACTGTTCTCTGGTCTCTGGTCTATTCTTGCTCAGTTACAAACAGGAAATCTGTGGGTCCCAAGGAGAGCAGCCTGGGTTGCACTGTACTTCTGTCCAGTCCTGGGGCTCATTCTTCTTGAGGGTGCTGGCTGGGATCAGTTCCTGAGGAGCTGGGCTAGACCTTCTCCCACAAGAACTGGGGAGTGGCGATGGCATGAGGGAGGGGTAAATAAACACACAGAACCCCCAGATTCATACAATCAAGTTGTCTGAACGTGTTTATGTGTTTTGTTTCAAACCATGGGAGGACAGGAGATAAAGAGGAAACTGTCCAGGTGTGGCGGCCACCCTCATGGCACACGCGCTGCAGGCAGCTGTGAGCTTCTCTACTCCGTCCTTGAGTGCAGCAGCTGGCCACCTGGGCACCTGTGGCCTGAGTCCCACTCCACCTTCCTGCAGGTGACTTCACTCGCCGGTACCTGGGCCCTGGGGGCCAGTGGCTGCCATTGCTGTGGGCTGTGTGGTGGCTGTCCCACTGGGCTCCTCTACCCGGGACCTCTTGATCTCGGGCTCCCCGCTGGAAGAGGCAGACGTGGTAGTGGAGGCTGCTGGGGTTGATGTGGCATTAGTGGCCACCGAGACGGCTGCTGATGGCTCCTCAGACCCTACCTCACATACCCGGGTGATGACCACTGGCGTGGATGAACTCGCCTGGGCTGCCAGGAGCTGCAGGGGACTGGTGAGGGCTGGTAGCAGGAAGAAGAGGTTACTTAAGGGTTACCACTAACTGGTTACAGTCACAGTGCTGTCTCTGTCATTCCTCACACAGGTATCTTTTCCCTACCCATGGCAAGTCTGAACCAGACACCCCACACCCAAGTCAGGGCCCTTCTCACTTGCTGCTTCTGTCACCCTGAGGACATCCCTCCCTCCCTCTCTTCCCCTCTATGATGCCTAATTTTGATTATCACCTCAGTGGAATTCAGAAGTGCCACAGAGTCAAATCTCTGGGCATGTCTGTGAGGGAGGTTTCTGGGTTGTGACTTCATCCTATCTGGGCTCTCAGACTAAATAAAGTAGAAAGCGAGTCAAGGAACGGCTTCCTCTCCCTTGGCTGCCTGACTGTGCCATGCCTTCCCAGCCAGGATGGGCTGAACCTTCAAAGGGAGCCAAAGGAAACCCTGCTGTCCTGAAGGTGTTTCTCAATAGCACAAAAACCTAAACACCAGACTCTGGCACACAGAGGCCCAGCCCGTGGGAGCTGCCCGACCTTCTCCTCTGACATCCCCTGTCACCCTAGGTGATGTCTGGTTTCCTTGCTATGTGCTCTTGGAAGGGAAAAGCAAGTGCCCGCCTGAGCTGCACTGCCCGTGGCAGGTCCCTGGCGCCTAGGGTTCGGGCTGAGGGTAGGCTGGGGCCTCACCGTAAGCGTTGCCAGCTAAGCTATTCGTGGGCACAGTATGCTTTCCGTTCTGAGTGACAGCCCGCACTGGAAGATGGTGCTGCCCGATAGTCACTGGTGTAGCTGGCTGCAGGATGGTGACCGTGTGTCCAGGGACTCCTGGGGCCATCTGGCTGGCGACTGTCTGGATAACTCGGCTGGCTGCAGGGATTGTGGCAAATGCTATGGTGGGTTTCTCTTCCAAACCTGTGGGGCAGGCAGCCAGTGAGAACCACACATGGTCCCAGCCACCGAGTTCCATCAAGGCCTCAGCATGAAGTTGGCTGAGGGGCTGGGGAATGGGGTGCCACTGGGAGAAAGGGCTTCCCAAGCCTCTCCTTGGAGATATGTTTAAATTACCGGGGCTTTAAAACATGCTGGGTGTGGAGGCAGGAGGAGCAAGAATTCAAATTATCCTTGGTTACATAGAGGTCAGTATGGGGCTTCACAAGACTGTCTCAAACACCAAAAACAAAATAAAAATAAATAAAACTGTGTGTGTGTGTGTGTGTGTGTGTGTGTGTGTGACACACACCTTCAACTGTAACCAATACAAATTTAATCTGTGAGACAAAATGTAGTATTTGGATTGAAACAGATTGCTTTTAGGGCTGTGACCTCCTCTTTCACCAGAATGTCATCTCTAAGATTCTAATTGTTATTACTTTGTTGTTGCTAGTGAGGCCATGGGCATACTGGGTCTCTGCCAATGAGCTACATCCCCAGTCCCACTGCCACCAACCCTTCCTTCCTTCCTTCCTTCCTTCCTTCCTTCCTTCCTTCCTTCCTTTCTTTAAGACAAAGTCTAGTTAGGTTACCCAGGCTGGCCTAGGGCTTGCTATGCCACACAAGCAGGCCTCCATCTCCCCAGTAGCTGGGAAGACAGGTCTCTGACACCAGGTTGAGCCTGTTTCCATAACGACGACCATAAAATACAAAGTTAACATTGAATCTAAGTCCCCAGTGCGAATAACGACTAAGAAATAATGCTTTCTAGAAAGTTCTGGGGCTGCCTTTCACAGACCGGGTATACTGTCAACATATACCCCATAAGCCTCCTAGGACCATATTTCTTTTTGAAGCAGGCAGGGGTGCATGCCTGTAATCTCAGCACTGCTGGGCAAGGTGACAGTGAGTCCGAGGCCAGCCCAGCAAGGATACAGACTACAACACTGGCAAAATAACCAATAAATAGGGGCTGAGATGGCCCAGTAGTTAAGCGTACCCACAAAGTGGCTCACAACCATCAACTCCAGTTTGAGGGTATCTGACGCCCTCTTCTGGCCTCCTCAGGCACTGCACACATTGGCATAGACACTGAAGACAAACACCCATCCACACAAGATAATACTGAAAGCAGAGCTTTTAAACAGACAAACAAACACAAATAAATAAGGGCTGTAACCTGAATGTCACCTTGAATGGAAACAAAAGTCAAGCAAAAAGCATTATGCCAACCAAGGAAGAAGTGTGCAGAGACAATCCACACTGCCTTAGAAAGACCCGCTTCCCTTTACTCACTGCCCCGCTTAGTGGGCTCTCAGCCTGCAGCCAGGCTCACACTGCCCAACAGTGTGCGGCCACATTACCTCTCGTCTCATTGCCCAGGTCCAACACGGCTGTGCCTGCTGTGTCGTGGGAGCCTCCGGCTGAGCCCTGGCTAGCGAGGATGTACCCGTTGGCTGAGTTGGCAGAGGTGGTTACCACCCTCACCATGGTGACGGTGGGGGCCTGCTGCACCACATGGATGGCGTGGCCTGAGGGCTGTTGTGAGGTCACTATGGAAGCTGGCATGTAGGCGACAGGCTTAGCCACTAAGTTGGAAGGTCGGGGAGGGACAGCCATAATCACCGGCTGGGCACTGACAGGGGAACCTGTGGGATGACACAGGGGACAGTGATTTGCGTGGGTGCTGTCCAGTCTGTCACATCCAGGAAGAGGATGAACCTATGTCTTACCTGGGGCACTCTGGGAATAGCGATACTCTGGAACAGAGGCTAACTTTGACCCTAAGTCAGGATCATGTGGAATGGGGGAGCCCTCCCGAGACAGGCACTCTGGGGTCTGCAGGCCACTGGAACGAGGGGACATCAGTCCAGGGTGGGTGGGCGAAGCTGGAGCACTCCTGGAATGAAGAGAAGGGTACACCAAGGTGGTGCGTCAGCATAAAAGCAAAGTAAACAAAAACGAATACCCCCCACTCCCACACCACATCCCATGTCCAGCGCTACACCTAACTCAGCGATTCCTGGCATACAGCCTACCCCAACACCCCACCCCACCCCACCCTACCCAACCCTACCCCACCCCACCCCACCCCACAATTCCTCACACATCCTCGCCCTACTTTCTGGAATCCACCCAACCTCACGTCTCTGCCCCACATCCAGGGGCTTCTCTCTTATGCCCCTAAGGTTTTCCCAGATCTAATGTTCCCTGTTGACAAAGACCTAGCATTGCCATTTCCATTCAATGGGGAACTGGGTGGGTAGGTGCTCCATTAAACAGGGCTGAAGGGTGGAGAATGGACTCCCTCCTAGCAACTGTACGTCCTGTAGCACACACTGCCTAAAAGGTCCAGCCACCCTCCAGGAGCAGCTCAGCCTATGTCAAAAGAAAAAGCTTGTATCCAGGTATGACAATGCAGGCCTGTCATCCTTGCTACTTGGAAGGCAGAGGCAGGAGAATCTTAAGCTCAAGGCCTGCCCTGACAACTTAGCAAGATCCTGACTCAAAATGAAAAGTGAAACAAACAGGTGTGGGTCAGTGGTACAGCCCCTGCCTAGACTCCCCCCAGTGATGGGCTAGGGTGTGGCTCAGTGGTAAAGTCCCGCTAGCAGGATTAGGACCTTGGTTGAATTCCCAGTACTACAAAAAGCCCAAACTGTTATTGGATGAGCACAGGACTGTGGTATCTTGATGGGGAAGCTCAGCCAATCACATCTGACTAGGGTGTGGCTGCCTGGAGCCCAGGTAGATTGGGGGGGGGGGATATCCGTTTGGACTTCAGACCTTCTACTCCAGTAGTGTGAGTTTCCCCGTTTTTCAATTATTAAATTATATCTGTTGTTTTGAGCTGGTCTGGTTATTTTCGTGTACCGATCAAATATGCCATCACTAACACTTGGCACCCAAGAGCCCTTTGAGGCTCTGGCCAGTTGGGGCTGCGCCGCGTTCATTTTGGGCATAGATACCCGCATCTTTGCGCACCCCCGCTCCACACACTTCGAGAGACCAGTGCTGATACAGGCAGTCCTATCCCCGAGAAACCCTTCCTGGCTCACTGTGACACTGAGACAGAAGTGCTAGGCTCTGCTTTCCTACAGAGGCAGGGACTCCTGCCACTTGCTGGTCACCTGACCTATGCTGAGAGTGACCACAGGCAGACTCCACAGCTATCCATACAAGTACAGGTCCCTATGAACCCCACATGGCCAGAGAGCTGTCCAAATGGCATTTACCCGTCAGGCAAATGCAAGGCCCAATGGAGCTGTTGGTGGTGGTGAGTCCATCCATCCGTCCTATCTGCCAGCAGACAAGCTGTACTCCAGCATAGCTCCATTCATGGCAGACAGAGGGATCTCAAGGTCCCCAAATCAGTAGGACTCCCAACCTTTGAACTGCTTATGGTGGCTCAACCTCCTGCACACACTGCACAAGTAGGCAGTAACCGCCTCACTAACTGTTCCAACCAGCACATAGGTCTGAGAACTGGGCATACAGAGTGCATGCCTAAAGCCCAGCAGGGCTATCATGAGTTCAAGGCCAATCTGCCCACAAAGTGAGAAACCTTGTCTTGAAACTGAAAATCAGAAAGATAGAAGCTTAATAGTCTAAGAACCCAGAAAACAGACCAAGTTCTCAAGTGCTAGGTCCCTCCCACTGCTGTGACGCAGGAAATCTAGCTTACCGTGAGGACAGAGGTCCGAAGGGGGTGCGGAAGCAGGAGACGCCTCTCTGTCTCCGCTTTCGGAATGCTTGTTCCACGAGTTTGGCTTCAGAGGCAGGGTCTATTCGCCAAAAGGAGCCCTTCCCAGGCTCCTCCTGGGATCGAGGGACTTTGATAAAGTAACGGTTAAGAGAGAGGTTGTGTCGGATAGAGTTCTGTAGGAGACAGAGAGAGACACCTGTGGGTCACAGCCATCAGAGGACAGACAGCCCTTACAACAGACGGAGCAGGAACTGATGACAGGCATGTGGCTGCAGGTGACCACCCCACCTGGGGAACACAGGTGGGGCACAAGGCAGCTCCTTCTATGCAACCCGCACAGGAAAATGCACCTGTTCTTTCAGAAGAAACACACAAATGTGCAGGATCTCGTTGGGCATGGAGAACAGATGAGGCTCACCGGCTCAAAGTACATCCGGATCTCTGGGTATGCCAGCTTACACCTGTCTTCTCAGTAGTGCTGAGGCAGGAGGATCGTGAGTTCAAGGTCAGCCTGGGCTACACGTGAGCTCTTGACTCAGAGAAGCTCCTCGTGGGGCGGGGATTGTGGCTCAGTTGGTACAGTTTGCCCCCGGCAGGAAGCCCTGGACTCTGTCCTCACAGTACCGTGTAAACCAATGTGGTGGAGGCAGAAGGAGCAGAAGTTCAAGGTCATTGCTGACTATAAAGAAAGTTCAGAGCCAGCCTGGGCTACCTGAGACCTTGCCTCAAAAGAAAAGAAGCAACAGCAAAAACAAAAGATTCTTCTGGATAAGCTAGTTAATGGAAAATGCTAATCACAGACAAGAGACTAACGTGGCATAATCTGTGCCCATTGCATTAATGAAGAGATCTCACAGCCTCCCAGAAAGATAAAATGCACCAGACTCGTGCATGTGGACGGCTGCACTAGTGATGGGGGCGGTGGACTGCTAAAGTCACACGGTGTTAAAACGCTCAGCAAGTACAGACGCCATCAGTACACAGGTGTGGGACTGGCTCAAGGCTGATCCCAGCACTCGGGAGGCTGAGGCAGGATGACTGCCATGTTTTCAAGCCTAGCCTGGACTACAACATGAGACACTGTCTCAAAACAATTAAAAAAAAAGTTGTAACCAGTCTTGAAGGAAAAGTAGCAAAACCAGATCATTTTAGGGCTGGGACGTGGCTCAGTGGTGTGTATGCTTAGCACGCATGAAGCCCTGGGTTTCATTCCTAGCACTGAACAAATGTGGCATGGTGGTACAGGACCACAATTCCCAAACTTCAGGAACAGGAGGTCATCCTTGGCTGCATAGGAAGTTTGAGGCAACCTGGGCTACACGAGACCTTTTCACAGAAACAAAAGAGCAGCAGCTCTTAATGGCTCTGACACAGCACAGAGGCACCATGGTACTGAGTGTCACATGGGAAAGCACCAGGCGTCTCTTCGTTGTTTGCTCATGTGAAGCACTGAGTTTGTATCTGAGTCTCCACACACAGCCCAGGCCCCCGGGGCCTCACCTGCCAGCCTTTGTCGGCAGTCCTGTAATAGGGGTAATGTTTGGTGATGTGGGCGTAGATGCCACTTAGTGTTAGCTGCCTGTCCTGTGCCGAGGAGATGGCTTGCACGATCAGCTGCGCATAGGAGTAAGGAGGCTTCGACTCATCCTGGAGGGAGGGTTCACAAGGAGACAGGGTTACAGAGGGAAATGGGATAGAATCTCTCCCAGCCAGGCCACCCACTTCTGATGCAGATGATGCTGTCTGCATTGAGTCACACCCGGGAGCCCGCCTTATCCATCAGCGTGCTCACATTAAACTCGGAACATGGTGGGCTGCACCCATTCCCAGCAATTGGAAGGCTGAGGCAGGAGGATTGCCTCAATTCTGAGGTTAGCCTGAATTATGGCTGAGATCTTGTCTCAAAACCCTAAACAATGACAACAAGAATTCAGAAGAGTGCCCTTTGGCCAAGTGTGATGCATACCTGTGGTCCTAAGACTTCTGAGTTTTAGGCCAGCCTCAGCTACATGAGTCTTTCAAAAAACAGAAAGCAAAAAGCAAAACAAAGAGGGCTTAGGGAACTGGCTGAGTGCACAAAGTGCTCCCCGTGCAACCATGAAGATCCAAGTTCGGATGCCCAGCACCTATGCAAATGCCAGACACGGTGTCAACGTGTGATCCCAGTGACTCCCTGACTGCCCAGCATAAAGGGCGAGCACCATACTCAGTGAAAACAATGTGGAGAAGGGCCGAGAAAGACACACGTGGGCCAGCACAGCTTCACGCCTATGTGTGTGCAGATAGACTCGGGAGAAACGGGAGAAACGGAACAGAAAAGAAATGCCAAGCCCCACCTCAGAGGAGGAAAAACAGGTTTTGAATCAAAACTCTGAAGCTCTCATTCCCTAGCACACTGTCTGCTACCCAACGGACAGGAACAACGACACATGCTTACAACAGCAAAAAAATGTGGCTGGGCCTGGGAGCAGACCTGTCATTGCACCTACTCAGAATGCTGAAGCAGGAAGGTCACGGGTTCAAAACCAGCCTAGGTTACTTAGTGAGACTCTGTCCCAAAATAAAAAGTAAAAAGAGGGTAGCAAATTGCCCCTGAGTTCAATTCCCAGTACTGTCAAAAGAGGGTGGGTAGAAAAGAAAGAAAAAGGTGTCGCTGTCTTAAGGACTATTCTTAAACTCTGACACTGTCTCAGCAGCACTGGCTGCAACAAGTAGGAACTGGGTGGGTGACAGGACTCCAGCTCACCACAAATGGTCACGCGCACTATTTGGGAAAGAGCACGGGTAGATCCTTCAACACAGCCATGTGCTGCATCCTGGAGTACCCCGTCTGAGCCACCCTCAGGACCCCTACTGCAAGGTCTTGGTCACCATGACAACAAGTCTGAGGCTCAGACCTTCGGGCTGTCCCCACCAGACGTGTCTGCTTGCTGCTCAGAGGCGGCCTTTGCTGCAAACTCCGCGGCCAGCTGAAGGTCTGATGTCACGTTCTGGACGAAGCGGTAACCTGATGACCCAGCTCCTCGAGGACTGGCTGGACAGGAGTTGGGGACGCTGAAGAGAAGAAAAAACACACCGTTTAAGACCCTGGGAAGGAAGACTCTGGGTGGGACACTCTTTCTGGACCACCATGGGTGATGGAGGGAGAGTGCTACTTCTGCCTTCTGGTAATATCGCTGGGTGGGACCAGCTTCAGAAAAATCAAGAAATACAACCAAGAATTCAAGAAATGACAAACACGCATCACTCTCTCCTCCAAGGTCAAGACCAAAGCTGCAGGAAGTCAAGTCCCTAGGCCATGAGTTCCTAAGCAAGAAAGCTGAAGCTCTGATGGCTTCAGCAAAAGCAAGCTGCTCCTCCACTCCAGGCTGTAAAGACGTGGCTAGTGTGGCCGTGACCACAAGATGGCGCCCTAAGAACAGGTGTGGATGGTGAGTAACTCCACACAAGGACACTTAGCCGCTGGAGGAGGAGGCAGGGGCCTGCTGGCAGGCACGGGAGGGGCACACAGAGTTCTCAGCCCCAAGTCATCAGTCTCACTGTGACCTGCCACTGACGAAGCCAGCACTACTGTGGCTCTGCAAGACAGGACCTGGCCCACCCCGCCTGGACCCCAGGACAGAGGTTGGCTGGCTGATAGTGAGCTAATGAATTAAGACAAGCTCTAGAAGGCCACCGAGATGGCTCGGCATGTGCAGATGCTGCCAAAGCAGACCACCTGAGTTCAACCCAGGGCCCACATGGTGGGAGAATCTAACTGACTCCCACAGGTTGCCCTCTGACGTCCACATGTCTCTCTCTCTCTCTCTCTCTCTCTCTCTCTCTCTCTCTCTCACACACGCACACGCACACGAATGAATAAAGTACTGGAGAGACGGACCGACAGTTAAGAGCACACACTGCACTTGCAGAGGACTGCAGTTTGAATCCTACACCCTTGACACATGGTTCACAGCCCCTCTTCCTCCAGGGGATCTGACACCCACTTCCGGCTTAAGTGGACACCTGCACTCACATGCACGAGTCCCACCCCACAAGATCTTTAAAATAAATCCTTTAAAAAGAAATAATAATAAGACAAACTTTGATTCTCTAGCCAAAGTCCTGGTAGTAAACATTTTTCTTTTTTTTTTCTTTTTTCTTTTTTTATTTATTTATTATGTATACAATTTTCTGTCTGTGTGTATGCCTGAAGGCAAGAAGAGGGCGCCAGACCTCTTTACAGATGGTTGTGAGCCACCATGTGGTTGCTGGGAATCGAACTCGGGTCCTTTGGAAGAGCAGGCAATGCTCTTAACCACTGAGCCATCTCTCCAGCCCGAAGATTTATTTATTACGCATACAATGTGCCTCCTGCATGTACACCTCCATGCCAGAAGAGGGCACCAGATCTCATTACAGATGGTTGTCAGCCATCATGTGGTTGCTGGGAATTGAACTCAGGACCTCTGGAAGAGCAGCCAGTGCTCTTAACCTCTGAGCCATCTCTCCAGCCCCAACGTTTTTCATTTTAAAACAGAGAGCAGCGAGAGGGCTCAGTGGGTAAAGGCTCCTGCCTCCTGAGCCAGGTGGTCTTAGTTTGATCCCTAGAATTCACACGGTTGAAGAGAACTCACTCCCACAAGCTGGCCTCACTCCACATCTGCACCATGGGATGCAAATGCTCAACACACACACACACACACACACACACACACACACACACACCGAATAACTACAATGAAATGTAAAAGTTAAAAAATAAAACCTTTCGAACAAGGAAAAGTAATCAAACACTGAGTCAGAGTCCTGCACGCTGCCCCTGCCGTCACCACAGAAAACCTGTGGCTTCAGGAGGACAAATGGCAGGACGCCACTCTCTTCCACTGCCTGCTGCTCCTCTGGCTGTGGGAAACACCCAGAAAGGACACTGCTCTCCAGCATGCCTGTCCCCTCTCCCATCTTTCCACTTCCTCCACAGGGATGTCTCCTGCTTCCCAAGCTCACCTGGGATACACCTGGGCTACTGCCTCCACCTGCACAGACAGTGTCTTCTCAGGCCTGGGAAGTGACCCATCTCCCTCTTTCTGGGAGCTACTCAGGACTAAGCAAGGGGCCAGCAAAAGCTTGCCCAGATATAGGAGGAGGAGGAATTCCTTCTGGGGTCTCAGTCCCTCTGTAGGAAAAAGGGGCGCACGCCATACATAATCCTGAGACCTTTAGTTCAGGGAGTCTCTTCTCCTTTTGACTACCTCTAATTTTGGTAACTTCTGTGCTTGCATTCTTCTGGTAGGCACGCTGCCTCCTCCCTTCCCCATGTCCTTAGGGCCCAGCTGAGGCCTTGGTGCATAAAGTTCAGTCAGCAAACAAGTCAGTGAGACCCCAAAAGCAAGCGAAAAGAAACTTTCCCTAAGCTTCCTTTAAGAAAAGGGTTGGCGGGGGCTGGAGAGAGGGCTCAGTGGTTAAGAGCATTGCCTGCTCTTCCAAAGGTCCTGAGTTCAATTCCCAGCAACCACATGGTGGCTCACAACTATCTGTAATGAGGTCTGGTGCCCTCTTCTGTCATGCAGGCATACACGCAGAAAGAATATTGTATACATAATAAATTAATAAATAAATATTAATAAAAGAAAGAAAAGGGTTGGGGGGGACCCTCATAATGTAGTTCAGGTTGGTCTCAAACCATCCTCCTGCCTCATTTTTCTGAGTGCTAGATATATAGGCATGGGCCAATACATCTGGCTTGGATTTAATTCTCTCTTTTTTCCCTTGAGATGGGGTCTCATTATGGCCCAGAAATTCCTATGAGGCCAAGTGTGAGGATTCCCAAGCATGCACACCATTCTAGCCTGGATTTCATACAAACTAAGCTAAAATACAAACCCAAGTACAGGGTGGGGAAGCTGAGAGACGAGTTTACTTCAACATCCATACACTCAAAAGTCAGCTTTCACTATGTATAGCTTAGTGTGGCTTTCATCCCAGTTCCCAGGAGGCAGAGGCAGGCAGATTTCTGTGAGTTCAAGGCCAGCCTGGACTAGAGTGAGTTCAAGGCTAGCAGAGCTACCTAGTGAGACCCCATCTCAAAAACAAAAACAAAAACAAACAAAAAAAAAAACACCAAATAAATAAATAAAGTTTTAAAGACCAGGTTTCATACCAGACTTGGAGCAAAGGCATGGTCACAGGGAATGTGGCTTGGGTGAGAGCTGTCACCAGGGACTCATCAAGTAGTAGATGCTGCTGCAGTGAATTTGGTACCCTGCCCCAAGCCCAGGCCCATTAATACCTTCAGAGTTTACCAGAATGACAGAGACATCAGCTCTCTCTGGCGACCATGGAGCTGGGAAGTCACCACAACACAGCACATCTCCTAATGACAGGCCGCGGAAACCAGCTTAGGTGGAGGTCACCACAACACAGCACATCTCCTAGTGATAGGCCGCGGACACCAGCTTAGGTGGAGGTCACCACAACACAGCACATCTCCTAGTGACAGGCCGTGGACACCAGCTTAGGTGGAGGTCACCACGGCACAGCACATCTCCTAGTGACAGGCCGCGGACACCAGTTTAGGCGGAGGTCACCATAACACAGCACATCTCCTAGTGACAGACCGCGGACACAAGCTTAGGTGGAGGTCACCACGGCACAGCACATCTCCTAGTGACAGGCCGTGGACACCAGCTTAGGTGGAGGTCACCACAACACAGCACATCTCCTAGTGACAGGCCGCGGACACCAGCTTAGGTGGAAGTGAGTGAGGAGAGCTCATCTCAGGACACTGAAAACCTTGTGTGAGATCGTGGAGGTTGAGGAGCGTCTATCCTGTGTAGCATCTCCCTACAGTTCCGAGGGCACAGGGTTATGGTGAGCATGAAGAGCAATGCCATGCTGCCTGTTCCTAAGGAAATGCACACCTTTGCTCCCAAGTGCAAAACCTGGAGTCAAGATTTTCATGGCCCACAGGATGGCTTAGGTGAACACAAGGTTTGTCAAAGCCATCTTAGAAGCATGAATCAAGGGCCAGACTTGATGATGGCAGACATGTCATCCCAGCTACTGGGGGGCTGAGGCAGCTCAGCTCAGTGTTGGTCTGGGGTACAGAATGAGGTCAAGTTCAGCCTGGGAAACTTAGTGAGACCCAGTACCAAAATAAAAAATCAAAACATGGTTAGAATATAGCTCAGTGAGGGGCTGGGGTGTGATTCAGTGGTAGAGCACCTGCCTAGAATCTCCCAGTGAGGGGCTGGGGTGTGGCTCAGTGGTAGAGCCCCTGCCTAGAATCTCCCAGTGAGGGACTGGGTGTGGCTCAGTGGTAGAGCCCTTACCTAGAATCCCCCCAGTGAGGGGCTGGGGTGTAGCTCAGTGGTAGAGTGCTTGTCTAGCTAATGTGAGATTTTGGATTACAGGTTCATTACACACCCCTCCCCAGGGAAGCAACCTCTGCTTCTTTAGCCTGGCTCATGCCAGTGACCTGTGTGGCCACAGCTGGGTGTGCAGCGAATGCTTCAGTCTTGCAGCCTGTGACGTCAGTTTCCCAGCAGCACCTCCAGGGCACACGTGCTTCTGATCAGTCATCTATTCCCAACCTCAGAGCAGCCTGTTTCTCAATACACAACACTGAACCATCCTTGCAAGCCGGCTGCAAGGAGAGAGCTGCACCCGAGACAGGGCCACCCAGCTGCTGGCACTCACATCTCAGAGCTGTAAAATGACCATTGGGAGTCAGGTGAATCCCAGACCCTGAGCAGGGCTTCCTAGAACACAAAGAACACAAAGTGTGAGGGTTCTCAACTTTCCTAGAGCTGTGACCCTTTAGTACAGTTCCTTGTGCTGTGGCGACCCCAACCTTAACGCTATTTCGTTGTCACACCATAACTAATTTTGCTACTGTTATGAATCATAATGTACATATCTGATATGCAGGATATCTGACAGACTCCTGTGGTATGGTTGTTTGATCTCTACAGGCTGAGAACCACTGGCACAGAGGGACTTGGGAAAGTCACCTAGGAAAGAGAAATGTACACCAGTTTTCTGCCAGTGTTTGGGCGGCCAAAGCAAGAGGGAAG